CAACAACAACAACAACAACAACAACAACAGATGTAAGCAAATAAGGCGCAAGGGCTAGAAGCAGCAAAAAGGAGAGACTATCAGCAGAGGCTAGGGATGCAGCAGGAAGGGCTAGGGATGCCGCATTAAAGGGAAGGAAGATCAGGATGGGCTAGGGATGCAGCAGGAAGGGCTAGGGATGCTGCATGAAAGGGAAGGAAGTTCAGGATGGGCTAGGGATGCAGCAGGAAGGGCTAGGGATGCTGCATGAAAGGGAAGGAAGTTCAGGATGGGCTAGGGATGCAGCAGGAAGGGCTAGGGATGCTGCATGAAAGGGAAGGGGAATCAGGATATGCTAGGGATGCAGCAGGAAGGGTGAAGGGGAATCAGGATATGCTAGGGATGCAGCAGGAAGGGTGAAGGGGAATCAGGAAGGGTGAAGGGGAATCAGGATGTGCGTAGTAAATCGTAGGTATTCTAAGGCTAGTAAATGACGAATTTCCCTTGTTTATTGAGGTCACACTCCTTCTCTATTATCTACTCCTGATCACATCACATACCTGGAGCTCCGTGTGAGGCGGGGCTGTAGCCTGCAGCCTGGGAGCTGTGGTGTTCATTGACGGGGTCGTAATCCACGATTGCGCCGACGCGCGACTGCTGCGGGTGGTGACGCACTGTGACAGAGGCAAGCGGCAACGTCGTCTTACAATCCCGCACCGCACGCACGCACGCACGCACGCACGGACGCACGCACGCACGTACGGCCACACACACAAATACGGCTAACAATGACAGTCGAGAGGGGCATAATCATATATCTACAGCACTGGAATTATGGGCAGAATATTGCACACGTGAACATAATAATGGCACGAGAGAAAAATGGGCGAAAATCAGTGCATAAGGTGCAGAATTTAAAACATGCTCTCAGCTCTCACACCAAAGATAGTTTAATTTTCCCAGTGTATCTCGAACATAGAAAGCAAGCACTTAATTTACATTTTAGCCACAACCCTACTGCTAATTTGAATTTGTTCACAAGAATCTTAGAAATTTTAACTTTGACTTCCCACAGTTTCAACACGATAGTTAATTTTTGAAATGCCACATGCATGTCAAATATAAGGACACTACGTGAAGCCACTTAGATGTGTGTCATTACTGTTGCCAACGCCATTCAACAAACTCCATGTGACCAAATTGGATTAGTACAACAAGGCATTTTTGTAATGGTCAACAAATTAACACAGTGAGCTGTGAAGCTCTGGGTTAGCCACTACTGGTGGTATTAATATCGTGAAGGTGTTAACTCCATCAGGGTATTAATATCATGAGGGTGTTAACTCCATTAGCATATTAATATCACTAGCTTAGGGTGTTAACTCCATTAGGGTATTAATATCATAAGAGGTTAACTCCATTAGGGTATTAATATCATGAAAGGTTAACTCCATTAGGCTATTAATATCATAAGGGTGTTAACTTCATTACGGTATTAATACCACTAGCTTAGGGTGTTAACTTCATCAGGGTATTAATATCATGAGGGTGTTAACTCGATTAGGGTATTAATACCACTAGGGTGATAACTGCATTATGGTATTAATATCATGAGGGTGTTAACTTCATTAGGGTATTAATACCACTAGCTTAGGGTGTTAACTTCATCAAGGTATTAATATCATGAGGGTGTTAACTCGATTAGGGTATTAATACCACTAGGGTGATAACTGCATTAGGGTATTAATATCATGAGGGTGTTAACTTCTTTAGGGTATTAATACCATTAGGGTGTTAACTCTATTAAGGTATTAATACCATTAGGGCATTAACTCTATTAGGGTATTAATATTCATGAGGAGGTTAACTCCATTAGGGTATTAATACCACTAGCCCAGGGTGTGAACTCCATTAGGGTATTAATATCATGGGAGGTTAACTCTATTAATATTAACATTAATATTTAATTTGTTAACTTCATTATTAAGTATTGATACTGTTAAAACTGTGGTGGTAACGCAACTATGGTATTATTATCGTGAGGGTGGTAATTCTGGTAGGGTATTAATACTGTGAGTGTACGTAATTCAATTCGGGTGTTAACTTTGCATGCATCACATCCGTCTGCCCCTACGCTCTGGGCCATGCATGCTATATATTTGTATGGTAACCACCAACCTTGCCCATCACCAGAGTTGTAAATAACGTTTTGACGCATACTTGGTGCCTGAGCGTGAGGCGCCTGATGCTGCTGCTGCTGGTGGTGCTGCTGCTGCTGCGGGTGGTGCTGCTGCTGCTGCTGCTGGTGGTGCTGCTGATGAGGCTGCTGCTGCTGCACCATCTGCTGTCCACCGTGACCCGACGCATACGCCTTCTTAGCTGTGAAGAAAGTACGAGTTCACACATCCCCTCATCACAACACACACACACACACACACACACACCTAAAACACATACGTGACTTGTGGCAAAGCACAGAGGTCTGAGACGGTGCTGGATATCAAGGGACAGTAACGTGTGCACATATAGACAGCTGCTTGAGAGAGAAGTCAGCATTCGTCAATTTCAAGCGACAAGAAATGCGAAGGATTTCACGTGAGATTTAATATTTCATCTTACTGCAATCGTTAGATAAACCACGTCGAACACCATAACAAACCTTTTCTGTGCACACCGTATGTACAAGTCCCATGCACGTTGAGACAGTACTAAATGGCTGTTTCCTCCTGCCATCCACAGTACAGTACATTCATTCACACTGCACCTAATTACTACTACTACTAGTCTACTACACCAGACCTGCCAACCCCATCTGATGATCATCAGTAATAATTATTGGATTTTTCCGTAACAAATAGGCATTTGTCAGTAACACCTTTTTGTCAGTCTTATTACAGTATAATAATAACATAATTAGCATAAAGATGTGTGACGTCATTCAAAATGGCTGCGCCCATAAACCAGACAGACGAGCGCATAACACAGCATAATTTACCATTTTCAGTGAGTACCGTTACGTTTTAAGAGCTATTAGTCTAAATCTACAGACACAGTAGTCATGTTACATGATAATAGTTGATTTTACACTGTTTATTTCTTTTTTTTTGCATTAAAAAATATAAATTTCAGAGATTTCTTGCTGTCCGTAATTTTTCGAGGTCGTCCGTAACACCGTAATTTTGACTCGCGTCCGTAACAAATTACGGGCAATACGTAACAGTTGGCAGGTCTGCTACACACACACACGACACTACGTCAATGTAGAAAGTTCCATTCGATTTCCTACGGTGCTTATACGATGCATGCATCCGGCTCACAATGCATCACACCGCGGGCCGCAACATTGCAAACGCAGCCGCGGCATGCGCTCGTGTCACGCTAACGACGACTAAGAATGTGCGCACGTATCTAACGACTACTTGACTAATTAAAACGCAGTGATTAACCGCGAAGAATACGATTAGAGTAGACTCGTGCGGGAAGCCAGTTGCTACTGACCAGGAAATCGTGATTACGCTGGATATAATCAATCTAACAGTAACACGTGTGTCTAAGAACGCCGAGAAAGAAAGAGAGAGAGAAAGAGAGAGAGAGAGAGAGAAATAGAGAGAGAGAGATAGAGAGAGAGAAGAGAGAGAAGAAAGAGAGAGCAAAAGCATGAGAGAGAGAAAGAAAGGGAGTGAGAGTGAGAGAGAGAGAGAGAAGGAGAACGCAAAAGAATGAGAGAGAGAGAGAAAGAGAGAGAGAGAGAGAGAGAGAGAAAGAGAGAGAGAGAGAGAGAGAGAGAGAGAGCAAGAGAGAGAGAGAGACAGAAAGAGAGAAAGAGAGTGAGAGCGAAAGCGAAAGCATGAGAGACAGCGCGTGGATTTTCGTGTAAGTGAGGATGCTACGCAAGCAGGGGGGTGGAGGAACAGAGTGGTGTAGGATGCGGCCGCATACACA